TTCCGATAAAAATACTAATAAGCACTAAAAAAGTAATGTCTTGATATTTTTATACATATACACACATATATAATCAATAAAAAAGTTTTTTACCTTAAACCGTGCATGGTTAAAAATTTTTGTAAATTCTGTTTCTATATAAGTCGCAAACTTTACAATTTACAATTTAATTACTAAATTACCTACATATCAGAGTTTTCTTATTTATAACATCTGTAACATTTAACTATATACATATTGCACATTTCGAACCAAAAAAGACTTTTTACATATTTTATCAATTCTATAACTAGCAATTTTATAATCTAATAAACTGACATTCCATAATTAAGAGCACATGCATTAAAAATTATATGAGAAAATATCATGTGCTTTGTTTGTATATTTGTTTCCATAGAAATCTTTTGACAAATAGCTTGAAAGCGGGAAATTTAACGTATTAGAAATTCCCTAGAAATTAAAAAAATCCTTTAGATTTAGGTTGGCTGCCCTTTTCACAAAAGGCAATCAAAATGAGTTTTCTGAAATCCTCTAGAAATCGCGAGAAAGTACATAAAACCAAAGGAAAATCTATAATTATATTAGGTGTAGTAAAAAGAAATCCATTATTTTTGCATGAAATTGAATGGAAAAATAATGGATTTCTTTTTACTACTCCTAATATTAAATGGACTTGATTAGAGGGCGTGTGAGTGCATGCGAATCTTAACAATTAATAAGTTTAAAATTAAATAGAGTCAGCGAGAGGCTAATTGTAAGCTAATTAGCTTGTTAAAAGGGGGAGGTAAGCGAGCAATTGGAGGAGAGGTTTTTGGTGCGTTAGATAGTATCGAGTGCGATGCATCGAGGTGAGGAAGAATAGATTAGAGCGCGAAATAATGGCATATAAAAACGATGGAAAAAAGGAGAGATAGCAAGCGTAGATAAGGTAGGAAAGAGTAAAATAGCATAGTTTATTGACAAAGGAGAAAAGATAGATAGGAAAAAATTTGACATAACAAAAAAGAAAAGTATAATGGAAAGATAGAAGTAAATGAAGAGATTAGGAAGAATTGTACAGAGATAGAAAGAAATGAGAGACGTAATAAAAAGAAAAGTAGTTAGAATAAGAAGGGATATACAAGAAGATAGAGAAATTAGAAAATTTGAGGAGAAATTGAAGGAGGTTATGAAGAAATTGGAAACAATAAAGAAAGATTTGTTAGAAGATAATAAGAAAATGTAGAGAGTTTGGAAGACATAAGAAGCTTAAGCAAGGCAAGTAGTGAGGGAAATGATTATGATAATAAGGGAAGGAGTGTAAGTAGGTTTGGAAGGAAAGAAGATAGCTCAATGGCAGGATCAATGTGAGAGGAGTTTAAGGGAGATAAATATTTTAAAGAAATGGATTTCAGAATGAAAAAGAGGAGAGGAAAAAAATATAATTATAAAAGGAACAGATATACTGGGAGAGGGGGGAATAGAAATAGATAGGAAAGAAAGGAGAAAATGGATCAAAAGGTTTATAAAAGAAAGATTGGGGGGGTAGAATGTAGTTGAGGGTGAAACATAGCCTTCTCGAGGATAAATGGAACAGTGATAATGGTTAGAAAAAGAAGTGAGAAGAAAAGGAGTGAAATGATAAGGAATAAGCATAAATTAAAAGGATGTAGGATTTTTACTGAAAATGATTTGAGCTGGGAGAGAAGGAGAGGATTAACAAATGAAACAGAAAGGGAGAAGAAAAGGTTGGAATAGGTAAAATAAAAATAGATGGAATATGGAAGGCATGGAATGTAATTGAAAGAGAAGAAAAGAAGAAAAATAAGGTAGATAAAGAAGGCAAGAAAGCAGGTGAAGGTGAGAGAGGAGAAGCAAGGGGGATAAGGATAGGAAATCAAAAGCAAAATTTTGCATGAGTTAAGAAGAAAGTAATTTAGAAGAAGTAAAATAGATAGAAAAGGAAAGAAACAGAAGTTAGGGATAGAAGGAAAAAACAAGAGGGATTAAGCAAATGGGCAAAAGAGAATAAACAAGAAAAACAAAGAAAAATATTATTTTGAAATATAGCAGATGTAGGAGGAAAGGATCTGGATTTTTGGAGTTATGTCAAAGGGTGTGATTTCGTGAGTTTATATGAGGCATGGTTAAACGAAAAAGGTTGGGATGCAATGAAGGATAGGCTACCTAAGATACATGTATGGGATTGCAGTTATGCTAGGAAGAAAAGAAAGAGAGACAGGGCAAGTGGTGGTTTTATAATTGGAAAGAGAAAAGGATGAGGGAATAAGGAAGACAGGTTAATTAGCAAAGAGAAGGAGTAATCTTATCAGAGTTAACGATAGGTGAAGAAAAGATAGATATAGTCTCAGGGAATGGTATACAACAGAAACAAAGAGGTAAAAATTTGGATATAAAGATGGAAAAAATTAAAGAGGAATGTACGGAAGGAAAGAATGTAATTATAGGAGATAATTTTAATATTAGAATTGGGAATTAGGAGGAGAGGATTTAGAGGATGATGGAATAGAATAGAATAGAATAGAATTTATTACACTTCAGCATTTATTTACAGCCAAGAAGAGGACTTGGTTTACATAAAATTCTTAACTCATTCATATATCCATATCTTGTCTGTAAGTTATCGCACATATTATTATAAAAATTTTATAAATTTTGTTTATCCCTTTATTTCCCTACTTTTCTAGTTAAACCCTCTATCTTCGTTTTTTTACCTATTAGGTGTACAACTTTGCTTCTGCCGTTTTCCTATAGATGGCTTTAGCGGTAAGTGGTGGTCGAAATAAATAGATCATAGACGTCATACAATAAACTTGGGCATCTGTCAACATAACCCCATAGAAACATTAGTCGATTTGTGTCTGCAACATAAAGTTATTCTCGATTGAAAATGTCAGTTTACGAGCCAAATTCTCGTTATTTGCGGGAGGTTTTAATTTTTTGCTTCAATATGAAGAAATCTGCGGCTGAGGCTCATTGAATGCTCTCAAATACTTATGGTGAGGCCGCTATTAGTGAAAGAATGTGTCGAATGAGTGGTTTCAACGCTTCAAGAACGGTGATTTTGACGTCCAAGGTCATGCTCTGTATTTGGTGGGACCAGCTCGGCGTAGTGTATTATGAACTGTTAAAACCGATTGAAACAATCACAGGCGATCGGTATCGAACGCAATTGATGCGTTTGAGCTGAGCATTGAAAGACAAACGGCCGCAATACAACGAGAGACACGATAAAATGATTTTGCAGCATGACAATACTCGAACCCATGTTGCGAAAGTGGTCAAGACATACTTGGAAACGTTGAAATGGGAAGTCCTATCCCACCCGCCGTATTTTCCAGACGTTGCTCCCTCTGACTATCACTTGTTTCGATCAATGGCACACGATCTGGCTGACCAGCACTTCCGGTCTTATGAAGAAGTAAAAAATTGGATCGATTCGTGGATAGCCTCAAAAGATGACCAGTTTTTTCGACGCGGGATTCGTACGCTACCCGAAAGATGGGAGAAAGTAGTGGCCAGCGATGGACAATACTTTGAATTATAAATGTATAACCAGTTTTTTACAATAAAGCCTCGAATTTCGGAAAAAAACGGCGGAAGCAAAGTTGTACACCTAATACATTATTTTATTTATTTTTTTTCTCTTTATCCATTTTTCTCTCTTAGTTATATCCATTTCTAATGTAATATATTCTCGTTCAATACATACGTTATCTCTATATCACAGACTTATCATCATCTATTATTATTGTTACATATTTATTTTTTACTTACTTCTTAGTTACTCCTTACTTTTCTTTTTCCTCCATTCCTTTCCTCTACCTATACATTTTCTCCCTGTCCTCTTTTGACTCCATTCTTTTCACTATCTCTTTTCACTCTCTCTTTTTCCATAATTTCCTTATTATTTCTCCTTTCACCTCATCTAACTCCTCATCACACAGTTTCCTTAAGATCTCTTCCTTATTTTTTCCTACTTTAGTAAACCTTTCTCTTATTTCCTCCACGTAGTGCTTTAAATTATCTTTTCCCTTGTCACAGAATAAATATACACTTTTAAATATAAATATAAATATATGATACATTTTTTCCTATGTTCTTCTATCCAATATTTATTACCTTTCTCTAAGTTCCCACACCTTAATTTGAATAAGACTTTCACCTTTTCTCCTCTAAGTTTTTTTTCCTCAAATACTCTGGGACCCTGCTTTGTCCTTTATTATTACTCCTTTTTTATCTGCTTCGCCAGCTAAGATTTCTATCTTTTCTTGATATTCTTTTATGATATTCTGTTCATTCTATACAATTATCTTCTTTACCTCTTGCTTTTTATCCTCTTCCTTTATCTTAAAGGTGTATCACGGGAATTAATAAGGAGATTTGGAATCAAGGAGCTGATAAGGAGATTGGAATATATATATGAAAACACGGAAGTTACGGTCAGAACAAACAGAAGTTTGACAGAGAAATTCCAGACAAGAATTCCAGACAAGAGGAATTAGGCAGGGCTGTGTCCTGAGTCTACCTTTAATTTGTATATTGCGCACTTTGACAGAGAGTTAAAAAAATAGAAATATAGGAGGAGTTGCGGCATAAGGGTATGGAACTTAGTGTATGCGGACAATATAGTGCTGTTGTGTAGCGAAAAATAGTTGCGCTGATAGACATGATACATACACTAAGGAGATTTTTAAAAAGTAGGAAACTAGAACTGTGTTGAAAAAACTGCGCTGAAAAAACAGATAGTAGTATTTAATAAGCATGGAAAGGAAAAGAAGGAAGCATGGAAATGGGAGGGTAAAGAGATTGAGGAAATATAATGTTTTAAATACTTAGATTTTACTTTTTTTTTAATAGAAAAGATGATTATGAAGATCATATAATAGAATTGAGCAAGAAAGGGAGGGCTCAAAAAGGAATGGGGTTTAGGAGAAAGACTATGCAGAAACGATTTTACAAGGAAATGGGTACTATTTAAATACCCAATATAAAGTATTATGGAGTATAGAGTAGAAATCTGGGGATGGGAAGAAAGAGGAAGTCTGGAGAAAATTATGTTAGATTACGAGGGCTGTTTGATAAGTACCCGTGTTTGACGACTGAGGGCGCCTCTGATTAAAAGTCTGTATACCACCGTGTAACGCCATTTTTTGAACGCAAGTAAAACTTTCAGACAGCTGTACCGGTTAGTTTAATTTTTTATAACAATTGAAAGTAAACGAGTTTGTGCTTGTTTGCAATCATGGAGAAAGAGCAATATCGGTCTGTGATTCGATTCCTGTTTTTGGACGAGAAAACGTGTGAAGAAATCAAAGTTGCATGCCGTATATAAGGACAACGCACCTTCGATGACTATCATAAGATATTGGTACAACGAATTTAAGCGTGGCCAAACATCCATTTTTGAAGAGCGCCCAGGTCATCCGATTGAGGTGACTACGGAGGATGTGATCAACAAAATCCATGATATCGTGTTAGCAGACCGCCGGGAGATCAGAGAGATTGCTAACATTGTAAAGATCTCAACTGAACGCAAAATGTCCTACGAAACATTGGGCATGAAAAAGCTATCGGCGAAATGGATGCCGCGTTTGCTTATAGTGGAACAAAAACGGAATCGCATGACAACTTCAAAGCACTGTTTGGACATGTTTAAGCGCAATCCGAAAGAATTTCTGCGTTTCGTCACTGTTGACGAAACATGGATCCACCATTACACACCAGAAGCGAAAGAACAGTCTAAACAGTGGACTAAATCCGGCGAATCTGCTCCAAAGAAGGCCAAAAACGGTTCTATCGGCCAGAAAGATCATGGCTACCGTTTTTTGGGATTCGCAAGGCATGATTTTCACCGATTTGGAGAAGGGATGGACAATCACGGGACAGTACTATGTTATGATTTATTGGATCGACTCGACTGAATTGAAAAAAAAACGGCCTCATTTAGCGAAAAAAAAGTGCTCTTTCACCATTATAATGCACCAGGTCATTCGTCCGCAATCGCCATGGCAAAACTGGTCGAACTACGAATTGTTGTCTTATCCCTATTCTCCATTTGGCCCCCTGCGATTTCTATTTATTTCCAAACATGAAAAAAGGCTTGAAAAAAAGGCGGAAAGTGCTTTGCATCAAATGAGGAAGTCATCGCCGAAAGAGGCCTATTTTAATGAGTTCGACCAATCATATTTTTTAAACGGTATAAAAATGTTGGAATATGGGCTGGGCTAAATGTATCGAGCTGAAAGGAGATTATGTAGAGAAATAAAAAGAAAAATTTTTTTTTAAAGTGTTTTCTTCTCTAACACGGGTATTTATCAAACAGCCCTCGTATATGAGATAGATATTCAACATAAAGTTCTGCATTCCAAGATATGTGATAATGAGGGAAGTAGCTATGGACAAATTAAGGGTAGGTTGGGGAATAAGAGCCATGAGATATGAGAGGAGATTAAAGAAAAGGAGAGAAGACTGCCTCCTTCGGTGTTGTTGGAAAGAAAAAGAAAAGAATAAATAAAAGGATGTATATGGTAAAAAAAAAGAAAGATTTTACAATAGGAATGAATGGGGAATAAATGCTAGGGAATTACAGGACGATAGAAATGAAGGAAGGTTAAAGGAGAAAATAATTAGAAGGGAAAGAGATGAGCAAAGACAGTGGCAAGATAGAATGAGGACTGCGAGATACAATGAAAGGTACAAAGAGTTTGATACGGGAAATAGATGTCCTAATTATTTAAGGAAGGAAAACATATGTAAGGTGGGAATGGGCGAAGGCGTGCGAAGATTAGTTAGGCTTAGATGGGAATATGGAGGAAGGAAATAAATATTGGCTAGATAAGGATATATAGAAAATGCGTATTTTACGGAATAGGGATAGACTGTATGAAACAGTATATGGAGAAAAGGCCCAAAAGTATGTAATTGATTTAAGGAGCTAGGAAAGAATAAGAAGGAAATATAAAAGAAACTTTGGAGAAGTTATTAGAAGTTATTAGATTCAGTTAAATGTAAAGTTTCAGGTAAATTAGAGAGAGAAAGAAAAAAATAAATCCAGAAAAGGAAACGGAGGAAGACCTTGCGAGGTAAAGCACATAGAGTATACTTAGGCAGGAGAACAAATTTGCATCTAGAAATGCGTGAGATTAGAAAGACTGTGACATAATATTAGGAATATATATTATACTGCGACATATCTATGTATAGTTGTAGCTAGGAGTCGTACTATTGTACTGTAGTATATTATATAGTATAGTATACTATATATTGCATATATACTATATATACTATTGCATATATAGTATACTATATATGCAATGATCAGGCTATGATATGTAGGTAATAAATATTATAAATATTATAGGAGAACATATGTTATAATATTCAAAGAAATGAAAATAAAATCATTTATTTGTTTGGTACTAGCTTGTTGTTAGATACTAGCAGTGTGGAAAAATGAGTGTGGAAAGGAATTTATATAAACCAAATCCCCTTCTTGGGGCTATGTAAATGTTAAAATGTAATAAATTCATCGATAAAGGCAGGAGAGGAGTGTAAGTATGAATGAATTAAGTATTTCTGTAAACCAAGTCCTTTTTGGCATATATGTGCTGAAGTGTAAATAAATTCTATTCTTCTATAATTATATTAAATTATATCACGAAAAGATCAAAAAATATAAAACACGATAAAATTTATTTTTTTAGCATGTATAACTTTTTTCTAATCATATGAGATAAAGAAATTTAAATATATAATTTAAAAAATTGTAATATTTATAAGAAATGTTTTATTTTGCGTTATATTTTATTTAAATATGTAAAATAAAGAATTTTATTGAATATAAAAAAGCTATAAAATTTTTTTAATATAAAATAATATTTTATTAGAATAAAATGTATATTTCATATAAAATTATTTTATTGTTGCTATTTTCATATAAATTATGACAAATAATCGATGAATATGTAATGAAAAATAATATATTTGTAATTATATTTGCATTGTTAATTTTCATATAATACTGATACTATTCATAAATACATTTTAATAATTTTAATGAAAAAAAACGTGTCAATCATCATCGAAATTTCAAATCTAAACAACATTATTTGTCATATTAGTTACACTCATATGTCATATAACACGTTTTCAAAAATTGATAACTGAAACTTATAGAATATACAAAAAATGTTAATATTATACTTATTATTAGTTTAAGTTAACATTTAATTCTCCATAGCCATAAATATTGTATATGCACATTTAAGAGCATTAATACTGTTCAGTGCGCTTCACAGTCTTTAGGACATACGATTTACCAGCTTTTTCTGTTTATTCACAGAATAAAGTAGATATGCTATACTATTAACTATATAAATAAACTATATAAAAGATATTCTTCTTAAATATTACATTAACTGCCGAATATGAGCGTACCAAATATAGATGCTCTTGATTGCACCTATACATACATATATCTGTACTAATTAGGAAGCCCTCTGTGTATGTGTGTGTGTGTGTGTGTGTTTGACTGCGTATTGTATGTATGTACTGTAGATATATGTAACAAACAATAGACCACATGTTTGAGTAATGACCTTAAAGCTATTTGAACACAGCCAACAGTCACATTAATTATATGATATCACACCAATGCATAGAATAACATACAAAAATGATTATTTTACATACAATTTAAAAAATACAAAATTGATAAAAAAAATAGCAAATTGAGATTCCTAGAAAAATGGCACATAATTTCTAATTTAAATACTGATTATTTTAACGAAGTAATGTTGATAACGGAGAAGATGGTGGCAATGATGGAGATGGAGGCCTTGCAGCAAGAGTTTCCAATTCACTGCAATGAAATTGACATACGGAGCTAGAAGTGCTTAGAGTTGATTCCGAAAGCATTCCCCGTCCTTTATAAGCTTTCCTCGCTCGATTGTTATCCTTGCCGGTTTCAACTACACCGCCATCATCATATTTACGAAAACAAATTGATAATATTTTCAGTCTGTAAAAATTCAAATTATAATCATTAATTAATTTATATCTTGTAATATCCAATTGCTTCATTTTAAAATGTATTTTTAATGTATCACAAACTTACATATTATATAACAAAAATTGATTACCTGGGATATTCAAACTGAGCAAATTGTGAAGACGGTCCTATAACTGCTAACATTGGACATAAAAACAACGTTGCATATATCCAACTTACTCCCATGACAAGCACTAAAAAAAGACCGATTTGTATATATGCTAGTACATGAGAAGGTAACATTAAAGCACCCGCAGCACCACTTGTAATTGCTGCCATAAGAGTAGGACCACCCATTTGTTGTAGAGCCGCTTTTACTCTGTCTATTTTCTTCTCAGAGACGCATGCTTTATAACTCACAGCATAATGCAAGCTAAAGTCCACAGCAAGTCCTAATAAAACAAAATATCCAGAAATATTAATTTCACAAATAGTTTAAACTTATCTTTTAATTTTTATTTACCTATTGCTGTAGTGATTGCAACACTTTCTAAAATATTGAGTTTCCATCCAAGAAGAATAAGTATTGCCACGGTTACAATTATTACAGCACCAATAGCTAGAATGGCGTACAGGCTAATAAGAGGATTTAAGGTCACCAATGCTAATACTATTAGAGCCAAAGTTAGCGATACTCCCATCGCATATAAAGTTCCATGATATAATGTACGCTGGAGCTCGTAAAATTCTAGATGACTGATAAACCATCCGCGTCGCATTCCTCGAGGTGCAGTTCGTAATTGATTCTGCATCCAATTTTCAACCTGTAAAATTTAAATTCAAGAAGTTCAATTAAACTTTACTTCAAGGATTTATACTTTTACAAATATTATCAATTCATGTCGTTATTTACTAATATCAAATAAGTAATACTTGCTTCATTAAAAAATTTATCCATACTTCCAAACGAGAGACTATATGCATATGTGCTATCATATTCGACAATAAGCGCTTTAATTTTAGGTGTTACTTTAATCGGAAATGTATCGTTTGATGCTTGCGCGGACAGTAATGGTTCTTTAACGAATTTTGGACCTCCAGAAATTGGACCAGTCCGAAACCACAAATGAGGCGTGTGATATATTCTATTACTAGCTTCAGCTGCACATTGTTGCAGAACGCTTGGTTTGTAAGGAAATTTACTACTCTTGCAACATGGTATATACTCAATCTGAGGATCGACAGGATCTTTACAAGATCTCTTCATCCATAAACGTAATGGTTCAATAAAGCAATTGGATAATAAAGGTCCCGTAGTACTACGGTAAAAAGGTTGACTTCGTAAATTTCCGCAAAATTGTTCAAGCCATAATTGAGATTTTGGATGAGAAACATCAAAAGCATCATCCCAGTCAGGTATTCCTCGTTTACGAGGATCAAGATAATCACCATTATCGATTGGATTTATACCCCAAACAAATCTTAATGGTAAAACTTCAGCATCTCCGCCAACCTGTACGAA